ATTTATTGTATTCTATTATATTATCTTTTTCTTTTGTACTTGAATTATGAAGCCAGTCCATTTTCTTGCGCTGTAAACAAGGTATTGTGGAGAGATTATTTTGGCTAAGTTACCCCTCACGGGCAAATTGTGTGTGCTCAGTGTGCCTGGATTTGCCGACTCGAATTGAAGGGGAGAGAGCCAGATCTGGGCTTCTGATACTCTACCATAGTTCTGGCCATATCTATTAAAGAGATCTTCTAACGGACTAATTACGGCTTAGGTGGAGTTGTTGCTGGTTCCCGAGCCAGCACCTCTCGCGTTGTGGGGGCTAATAACATCTGCACTCGAGCATATTTGTCAGCATTCTAGTACAGCTTCTGCGATACCATTTGCACGTACCTAGTCGTGGGAGTTAAAACCTTCCACGCTCGGGAGTAATCGGAATTTGGCAGTAAACTAGGGCTAGCACCCCTAGTCTCTGCGGCTGGTTGTTGGCATCTTGGTGCGGTTATTTCCCACACCATTTGCTATCCATTTTTGTGTTTCTTGGCAGTGTATTAGGGCTAGAACCCCTAGTCTCTGCAGTTGGTTGCCGGGATTTCGGTGCGGCTAGTTCCCGTACCATTTGCTGTCCATTTTTGTTACTCTCACCTGTGTACTAAGACTCATACTCTAGTTTCTCATTGCTCTTTGTACCCCTAAAGTGTCAATCCCTTTTCCATGAACTTTTGGACTAAGATGAATAATAAATTGTGCAGCTTTGTATGAAAAATCTTGTAATTCGCCTGAAGATCACCAGTATATTACGAAAAATTCCTTGTGTTCATTCCTGCTCTCTTCAACACAAGAGAATGTTACCCCTCACGGGCAAATTGTGTGTGCTCAGTGTGTCTGGATTTGCAGACTCGAATTGAAGGGGAGAGAGCCAGATCTGGGCTTCTGATACTCATGATGCCTCTGTACAAAAAGCATTCAATTTATTGGAACCTAATACACACTAAAGGCAACAAGTTTATAAATCAATTTCTCATTCATAGTACATTTATACTAAACCGTAAATAACAATACCTCAATATAAATTAAAGACTGCCACTCAATATTTTTAAATATATGAAAAAATAAAAAAAATAAAAAAAATCAAAAAAATAAAATAAATCAAGTGATTTAATAACATGATTTAATCATTGCCAACCCTGTTTAGAATCAGTACAAAAGTCTCCACCAGATCGGCACACTACCCGTATATAATTATTTCAACTTCATGGTGGTGTTTCCGGTTACACATGTATCACATGACATGTTACCATCTTGAATATGATTGAACTTCAATCAATATGGAGCTGAATTTTCCAAGTATTTTGATCTCACTCAATTTGTCTACAAGATATTTAATTAGTAGTTACTTTTATTGTCTAGTAGAGAATAATGCTACTATAATGTAGATATGTTGTTAACATACTCAAGATTTACAGTCAACTAAAGGCCTTAAAAAGTAATGTAATGTGTTTAGTGTTGGTTTATTTCTTTTAATTAAAGTTGCATATTTTTTAACTGCATCACCAGGCTCAGTCTACTTACACCATGAAAACTTCCTGGAGAATTGTCCCTGAAATTGTCCATATGATATCAATATCATAAATTGGACTTCACTTGCTCAAGTGCGCTATCTGTTACGTATATAATGGCTATCTGTTAGATAATAGCTAACTGTTTTATAATGGCTATTGTTTGTATAACGGCTACAGCAGAGAGTGTTTATCACCTTCGACATTCCTCCTTACAGTGTGATATTATATTACATTATGATATTATAAAGGGGGATTTTCTTAGCGAGTGTGATATTTGTGTAGTGAAGTGTATTTTCTCATAGTTCATCACCATTTGTAATTATAAAGTATTTATGTGTATCCTTATTGTCTTCTTTGTAGCTTTGAAATTTGTAATGTCAGGAGTAGCTCGTCTATTGCAAGGCTGGTGCGGTGCATTATTTCTTCAGTTTATTTACGGTCCTACCGTTGAGCAGTGCGGCCAGATGGGCTTTTTTCCGGCCAACTTTGAGGTTCTGTTCATCCGATTGCATTGGCTGGTAAAAATCCACGAAAGCATTAAACCTGAAGAATATCCACAGACTAGTATTTTACGGCTTTTTTAAGCTAAAAATTTTGCCTGTAATTTCTAATTTGCTGATGAATATAGAATATGGGTCCTTCATTCTGGGCAGATTTGGCCACTTTCTCATGCCACTCTGGCATCCTTGCCTTCAAGGTTCGATTAATTAATCTGTTGTGTTCTACCTCTGATTGCACTTTCTACCTAATTAACCTGCAGAACTAAGCTGGGACATATTCATTATTTTATGTTCTTATACAATCATAACACTAAAAACAACTCTGTAAAACAAAGCATTCTATATTTCACAAATAAAAACAAGAAAAACAAGGTATTGTTTAGATCTAATATGAGTATGTCANTACTGCATTGTATTACAGTGTCTCTTGTACTGTACTAGGTAAATACTGCATTGTATTACAGTGTCTCTTGTACTGTACTAGGTAAATACTGCATTGTATTACAGTGTCTCTTGTACTGTACTAGGTAAATACTGCATTGTATTACAGTGTCTCTTGTACTGTACTAGGTAAATACTGCATTGTATTACAGTGTCTCTTGTACTGTACTAGGTAAATACTGCATTGTATTACAGTGTCTCTTGTACTGTACTAGGTAAATACTGCATTGTATTACAGTGTCTCTTGTACTGTACTAGGTAAATACTGCATTGTATTACAGTGTCTCTTGTACTGTACTAGGTAAATACTGCATTGTATTACAGTGTCTCTTGTACTGTACTAGGTAAATACTGCATTGTATTACAGTGTCTCTTGTACTGTACTAGGTAAATACTGCATTGTATTACAGTGTCTCTTGTACTGTACTAGGTAAATACTGCATTGTATTACAGTGTCTCTTGTACTGTACTAGGTAAATACTGCATTGTATTACAGTGTCTCTTGTACTGTACTAGGTAAATACTGCATTGTATTACAGTGTCTTTTGTACTGTACTAGGTAAATACTGCATTGCATTTACCTAAAAGTTTTTTACAAATTCCAGCACAATATTGAACTCAACTTATTGAGCATTTGCAGTCAAATTTATGACAGACAAAACTTGAACAATTCCACATTTGATTTTCCTTGTCTATTTAATAAATAGTCTTTAAATATTGAATAATAACCAAGTAACCTGGACACAGAGATGTAGCATCAAATAAAAAAAATATGGCCCAATAATAAACATAAGTATTATTCCTGGACATAGCAATGCAGCAGCAAATGAAAACAAATATTCAAATGCAAATAAAATGGCCTAGTTATAGAAATATTACTCTTTACATAGAGTTGCTTTTTATGAAAAATGTACAGCTGTAAATAAAAACAATGCAGAATAACAGACATATTAGTTCTAGACACAGAGATGACGTTAAAAAACATACAGCTTCAAATGAAAAACAAGGTCTAATAATAAGCATGTTAGTCAGAGACATGGAACTGTGGCTCCAAGCAAATAACATGGCTTAATATAGATATTAGTTTTAGATATTGAGATACAGTTGAAAAAATGTATGGCTTTAAAGAAGAAGCCAAAGGGTGACAATAAATGGGTAATATTAGATTCTTTAGTCCCTTCTTGAACAAATATATTTTGAGTATGTAAATAACCATCCCCCACAATTATTGCATTATTATTTGCTTGAGAATATAAGAAATTACTATGACGCAATTTGAATATCTCAAAAATAAATTTAATTAGATCAACATACTTGCATACTGAACATAATTTCATATTTATGCAGAAGGCTGCTACAAGTACTGCATTAGAAAAAACATTAAGTCATAATATGGCAGGGTGGCCCAGTGGTTAACGTTCAGAGTACCAAGATTGGCGCGGGTTCGATCCCAGCTCTGTGCGCCAGTTTCTGGTCAGAATGGGCGAGGAGGCCGGGCGGTTAAGCACAGCAGAATTGTAGCAGTGGGTTGCGAGTTCGAGCCCGCAACAAGCTGTGAACGTTCTGCGATGTTAAGAATCGGCGACAGGCCTACGGCCTAATATACTCTGAAACCACTTTTATTATTATTAATATTAAAGACATCGGCATAATAAAAGAATTTGTAAAAGTTAACATTCACAATGACCATGCCACCCACATGAAGAAAAAGTAGGATAATTAAACAAGATGACTTGGACCATTTTAGTCTATAAGAAATGAACGCCCTGTAACTCAAGAACTTCTTGCCTTAGAGAAATTGTGTTGATGGCTCATTAAATACCTTCGGATCACCTACAATGGAAACAAAGAGATATATTTAATATATTTACTATGTGATTATTTGCATCACAAAAGGAAGAGCGTTGAAAATTGTCCAATTCACCCATGGTAGTCAAGTTAGAATTCCCCCATATTCATCCCTATGAAAGTTTGGCCCATTCTCTCCATGGCAACTTTACAGATGTCTACGAATAAAATCTCGTGGAAACAAGCATTTCAGTTACATCATTGTTGTACTATCAATAAAAATCCCAGATACAGACAGCATAACTCAGTGAAGAACATCATAGAACTAGTGTGCAGTCAAAATTTTCATTATTGATTAATTTACTAATTATTATTACAATTGTCATAATTGCATTAATCCCTTTCTGCGCAGAGGCATTTGGGTTCACTAATCCACAACATGGATATTATTTAATAAAATAAGCACTGCCTTCAAGCACTTATTTTCAATGTGGAAAGGTTAAAATCATTAGATGAACTTCTCCTTTCAAGAAAATAAAAGACTAAATAAACATTTCCTCTCAAATGTTCTCTAAGAAAAGGTAATTGGATTCCTCTTCGAACACAAGACTGTGGCTGAAGCAATATCTGTTGTCTGAGGAGTTGACATAAACCAGCTCAGATCTTGAGGAATATTAAAACAAAAAAGCACATAATTTTTATTAGATAAAATCTCATGTATTTTCTCAGAAGTAAATATCTTATATATTTTTTTCCATCCCATGGAGTAGATATTATCTATAGCTGAAGATTGTGTAACTTGAATTCAAAGTCAAATATGTAAGCCAAAAATTTACATTAAGAAATCATTATCACAAACCTCAACTATATTCAACCTGGAAAATGTTATTTTCAATCTAGCAAATTTAAATAAGTTGCCTCAAATTAGAGGTTACTATTGTTGACACTAAGAAGTTTATTATTGGAGAGGCCTTTCCCATAAATGAGTACTGAAAATGACCAAGTACTTAGTACAAATAATCCTGGAAATTTCAAAGTACTGAATTACCAATTATAAGAGCAGAATGCATCTCACACAGTATCCCATCTAACAAAGATTCTATTTAAAATTGTAGCACAAAATGAGAAGACAGACCTGATTACAGAGCATCAAGCCCTCCTTGATTTCTTGACATGGAAGGTGCATTGTTAGGGAGTCTCATTCAAATTTGATTGTGTCATAATGACCAAACACAATATGGAATACTTCTACCAAACAACTGCCATAAATATGTACACATTTCGTCTGATATTTATCAGCAGTAGGTAACCTGTACACACAAACTGAATTTAACCAAACATCCTCAACAAAGCTTAGGTTGGATTGTCAGCAGACACAGTAACACTACTTGTACTATTAAATTTTTCATAATCCAGAACATGTTTGGATTTTAGGTGCTTTGTTAGATACCATTTCTTACCAGTGACATAATCACAAAATTCACATGGGAATCCTTTCCTTAAACCATGTTTGGAAAACATGTGGCTATCAAAAGCATCTTTTCTACTGAAGACATAATCACAACGCTTGCATTGAAATCCTTTACCCAGCCCATGCTTAGAAAACAAGTGCTCATTTAAATGAAGTTTATCAAGTGCAAAATAATCACATAACTTGCATTTTGAGCGTCCCAAACCATTCTTTGAACAAAGGTGCCTGCTGAGAAGAACTTTCCGACCAGTAGCATAATCACACAACTTACATTTGAATCCTTTCCCCAAACCATGTTTAGAAAACATGTGTTTTTTGAGAAGTTCTTGTCTCCCGGTTTCATAATCACACAACTTGCATTTGAATCCTTTCCCTATACCATGTTTAGAAAAAGTGTGTTCTTTGAGACGTACTTGTCTGCCAGTTTCATAATCACACAACTTGCATTTGAATCCTTCCCCCAAGCCATGTTTAGAAGAGAAATGCATTTGGAGATATTTTTTCTGATGCAACATAGTCGCATGATCCACATTTTAATTTAGTTTCAAAATTATGTTCGTCAATTTGGTGGGCATTTGAAGGAACTTTGAAATGTAATGAATCAGTGGATGAGGAAACTTTGTGCAATTTCCTTGTTAATCTTGCATGGTCATTGTTGGTCAAGTTGTGTTCCAAAGACTTGAACTCAGATGCAGGCTGATCAAAAAGAACTTCTTGGACTGCACCTGCAATATTGGGTCCCAACAAAATATTTTTCTCAGAAGCAGACATCTCTTTTGCCTTGCTTTCAGGATAAACACTCATCCATTTATCCTGCCCAATTTTGCCCTGGGCATTGCACGTGCTATCCTGAGGAAAGAAAACATATTCTTGCGTGTAATTTCTCATATAAGGCAATGAAAATAAAATTGATGCAGTGTTCAAATAAATTCTAGAATAATATAATCATTATTATCTTTTGCATGCAAACTTTTCTGGGGGCAAAATTCATGAAAAAGCAGGAATTAAATTAACTTATATTAATACAATCAATAAATTAATTATATTCCAAATGAATGGAAAATCATTTTGGCAATTGAAATAGGAAGGTCATCTGAGCATGGAACTTCTATCAATACAAGCACATTAAAAAGCTTCATTTTGTTTCTGATGTTCATTCTGGGTGTGTGATCCAAAGATTATGTATAGATTTTTTGTAAAAAACACAGACAAAATGCACTAGACAATATTTTCAAATAAATGTGCATTCATGTAAATTTTCAATAGAAATTCAACAAAAATATCAAATCCCAGAAAAAACAAAACAGAAAGATATATGATACACATGAAGGGAACGTCATTGCAACACACGTAGCTGGTAGACTTATTGCTGCAGAAGTCTTGATCATTTATAGCCTGTGATAGAATATTTGTGACAAACTTAGATTCAACAGGCAGATATTCTATCAGAAAATGAGGCAAGAACTTCTGATGGGAGAACATAAAAATTGAAAATATAAATTGCTCTACAAATGAGAAATGTATCAAAAATAGGAGCTGAAGAGAGACGAGATGTTCACAGTACAGCCAATGCAGACAGATCATCAACATTTCAATTCCTCGGCAGTTCATTTGTACCCAGAAACCAGCCTTACTAACCTGCTTATGAGGCACGGCAGCAGTGTACTGTGAGGCGCTGGTGCAGGCCTTGTGAGCCTCAACTTGAACCTCTTTCTTGCATGGCTTGCAAGATGAGGGAAGTGGAGTTTGCTGGACAACACATCATGAGCAGGAACATTAGTTACCTTGCATGGATTTGGATGAAATTCGTGTATTAAAATGATCACGGCCTAGCTTAATTCAAATAGGATCAAACTCAAAATTAGGCATACAAATATTCAATTCAGGAAAACAGAACAATACAATGTGAATCATATATCACAATTTGAAATTTTATTTATAAACAGTTCATGATCTAGCATCCAACATCCCTTAGACAGTTATTTCACAGATTTTGCACCTGTACAAAGATGATACCTGTAGCAGAGTTATAAATTTGATAAATTTGTCCATGTATTGTTTCTTAGGGGTGGAATTCAATGACTAGCAAATAGATATTTTTAAAAATTTCACCTCATATTCTTCACTGCAAAGTGGTTCATCCTTCACAGTTATGTCCTCTCCCTCATCTTCAGGCTCCTCTTTGATGTAAACTGTCATGATGGAGGGTAGGGATGAACTGCTGCCCTCCATTGCTGGATGGAATGTACAAGAATTAACAGCATGATGATACTTGCAGGGAAGAATATTGACATTGTAATGGACTCCAACTACTACTATGAATAGTATTTTCCGTAGAATCTGTAGGGAGAACATTAACAGCAAGTCATCATCACCAACTTGCTCTTCAACATTAACTGTCAAGATATTTGGTTCAACAATTGTGTGAACAATAAAAGAAAATCACAAATATCAATGAATTATAGCATCTTCCAGATCCACAAATAAAATAGACATTTAAGCACTACCGTCAAGCATGGTAATAAGGAACTGGCGGGGTAAATTGGGAGTCCTCCGCCACGGAGGACTCCCTCCAAATGTTGTAGCAGTGAAACTAATTGAAATATTACAAAACTAAAGATAGTGGCATGAACTTTATCATTTCTTTTATTTTATTTATGTAGCATAAAGAGCTTGAGAAGTCATACATTTACTAGCTCTAAAAAATTCATAAAAAATGTTGAAAAGTGATATTTCAAGTGATAAATATTAGTACTTCTGCTAATGTCTGTAGTAAAAAAATATTCGCAATATTAAAAAATTTTGCTTGACATATGTCGGCTTTAAGACATATGCAGACATATGTCGGCTTTGAAACTTCAAAAACGGAATTTGTGCAATCCAAAACACAATGGCTTCACTTGACAAAAAATTAATGCATCGGTCATCACAAAATTGTGCATATAATGTCAGAGACAGAACTGTGCACCAGGCAACATAGAATGAAAAGTAATTAATCCAAACTAAGATTTAAGTATTTCTTCAAAATATATGATGGTTGTCACTAAAATATTTCTTTTGGTTTCAGGTATGTTTTTTACGATATTTTTTGTCATAGTGATTTCTCTTCACTCAATTAAAATGGTTAAAAATTGAAAGCCCAGTCCTGCAAGCTTACAGATACAGAAGAAATGCTATATGGCTGATAATGGCTGCTGATATGAAGCCTGCAGTTAACAAGATCATTGTTAATTATCAATGGCATGTCCTTGGATATGGAAATATCACATCAATACTATGGTAATGCATGTATATGGAGTAATATCATATCAATAAAGGAAAAACAAATACCATTACTACCATCAAATAGAGTTAATAAAGGGCAGGCTAAAAATAGTGGTGAAAAGTTAAATATTTTTCCTATCTATGTAGCATAAAGCAAGTTAAGAAATCATACATTTACTATCGCTTAGTAATACCTGAAAAAAGTGTGAAAAGTGAGATTTTGAAAAAGTACCTCTGCTTTAAAGGGCTGTACTCTGTAGCAAAAAATATTCACCATATTAAATAATTTTACATACAAAAAAGTTGCACACAGGTGTTGGCTTAAAAATGTGAGCGATGGAATTTGCGTAGCTCATTAAAAAAATTGTGGCTATTTCCGTAAGATGGGGGTAATAGGGGACATCCCTAAAAATGCATTTATAGTAGAACCTTGGTTAGCAAAGCCTCCAGTTTCCAAAAAAATTGTGTAATAACAAATAATTTTGATTACATTAACCTCACTTTGTAAAAAATTCATGTATCGAAAAATTAATGCATCATTGGTCATCACAAAATTGTGCATAGACAGAATAGACTGTAATTGATAGAATTTTGCACCAGGCAACATTGAATGAAAAGTAATTAACCTAAACTGTGATTTATTTAAAATGTCATTTATCCTACACTTACATCATCTATCAAAGAAGAAGAGGACTTTGGAGTACGACTCAGTACAGTTAATGTTACACTAATGGTTAATAATGGGAGAGTACAGCAGTACACTCCTCATGCATGCTCAGTACACTCCCTCCGCCCTCGTTCCTCCCATGCCACTGCGTAAAGTCTGGATGAATATTGCAAGGACTTTGGTAACGCTTCAGTAGCAAAATTTACGCCTTCAGAAGATCATATTCAGAAGATTCACTTTAAAGTCTGGATGAATATTGCAAGGACTTTGGTAACGCTTCAGTAGCAAAATTTACGCCTTCAGAAGATCTTGCGGACACATTTAGATTGAAATTCTTGAATTTAATATATTTGTCAGTCTTCGGGCAACTATTTAGAAAAAAGTAAAGTTTCTGGTACGTTCAGCATGCAGTGAAGCTTGTCTGGAAATCAGTTACAATGAGTTCCTGCCAAAACAACAAATGTAAACAAGTTTGCGATTGCGTAGTTGCGGTCACATTAGAGCAGTCAGACTGCATTATCACATGTTCCGTTGACACTTGCTGTAAAATTGAAGCATTGGACTGTTTTTAGGGTAAAATTAGTTATTTGGGGTAACACGTGCATACAACCTTGTAAATAAGTTCGTCGCTTGTAAATACTTTCTCATTACTCAGCGTAAATGGCTTTTCATTAAAAGTTACCCGGCAACGCATCTTGAAAATGGTTGGCGACGCTTTGGGCTTAAACCCATATATTGGTGACGCTGCTTGCACCCTTTGCAACCTGGCTCCCACAGACCACAGCCAGGGGTAATTTGGGCTTTGGGGTGCTGAATAGCACCTTGTCAGGCACTTTATGAATAGCATACGTAATTTTTCAGAGATGTCATGCAATAGCCCTTGCAAAAGACCTTTAAAATGAGCCCAAACAAGTTAATAAAATCTTTCTTGGTAAGAAGTTATTAACAAAAAATGAAAAAAGCATCTCCGTCTCTACGTTCTCTTATAGTCATATAGTGAAATAACAAACCCCGGGCAAACCCCAATTGAGCAACAAGAATAATAAAAGAAGAAAAACAAAAGAAGTACAGAAAAAAGGCAAAGATTGAAAGAAGAGATGAGTAGAATAGAGAACATGATTTATTTTTGTTTATGATGAAGATAGATAGCTACGTTTCTAAGTTTAGAATAGACATAGGGGATACAAAATTGAGGGTTGGCATCAGATGTCCACATTGACTGTGTCTCATTCAATTCCCAACCCAGTTAGTTGCAGTAGCTATGCCCTAGACAGTGACTTACATGACTGAGTTTGTATAAATTACTGAAAGTCTAGAATTTGTTTACCTAAACAGCTTCCGCTGTAAATAATACTTCCGAGAAGTTCTTACGCTCTGCCGGAGATTTTATCGGATCACGTCGGTCACATTCAATTAAATTAAGTAATTTCTGATTATTCATTTTTCCGGTATTCAATCCAATGAATAGTCATGACTAATCACGAAAATCCGACATTTGTGAAAACATGTTCACGCAGAAGCTCATTGGATCGAGTGTGAATTGAGGCGGGCGGCAAGCATTCACCGGAAGTTTCCTTGCCTGTTTCTAGCACCTCCGCTGACCAATGGAGTGCCCATTCTTAGACAACGAAGGAATTTTTACAAAAAGGTCTACTCCTCCTACAGCTGAAATTCGTTGAATGGTTGTACGAATGTGCTATAATTGTTTTTCTGCCTGACGCCTCATTACCATGCATAACACTGTGGTCTCGTATCCAGCAAAACACCACCTTTTCAAGTCCCTTAACCAGCATCAATCAACTTTCGTATCTCACAGGCAATCTTGCTTTATGAGTGTCCAGATGTTTTGTGAATTGAATTGAAATCTGCTCGTCTTTCAGAGATTCCTTATCAGTGGCCAGCAGCATAACCTTATGTATGGCAAACTATTCAGCCCCAAGAACAGTGTGTTCTCGTCGAAGCAACAAGCCTGTTGCCGACTCTTGCACTTACTCTTGGTTCACACCGTATATACTCCCTGCCAAGTGCCAGTCACGGTCCAGTGCAATAATCTCTAATGCATTTCTATATGAGCATTCACACCAGCCGTGCAAGGCACCTGCCATGCCAGGCGCGGTCCAGCCACGATCGTAGCAAAAGAGATTTTGACCGGGACGTGACTGCAGCGTTGCCAACTTTTTTATTTGCCGGGTATACCAGATTACCAGCTCAACAAACCGGATTTCAGCAAATATACCTAACACGTGCCTAGCAGTTTGGGGTGAATCAAGCTTAAGAGTCCGGTAGCAACTGTCTCATCTGCAGACTTCGAGCCATCCGTGTAAATCTAGAAATATTTAGAGTGGTGCTGCAGCCAAAATTCAATAAATAAATTCTGAATAGATTAATGTCGCTAATTTTTCATGAATTATCTTGAAGGTTGAGATGAATACTGGAAATAAGATCCGCTTGAGGTAAAATTTATCTTAAGAAGGGAGTAGTAGCACGCCGTGGGAGTGAAAGACCTCACCCAGCTTGCAGAGGCTTTCCCGAGCTCTGATGATGAGAGTGTGTCACTTCAACCTCCCCAGTCAGAGAATCCTAACATGGATGCTACATGGTTACCTGCCAGCATGTACAGATATCAGATAACACACTTGATGAACAAACACAAGACTCGAAGTTGCAGGGGGGCAATGAAGCTTTCAACTTTCAGATACAATATTGTCGTGGTACGTCGGGCTCCGTGGATCTACCAAAGAGCAGGTTTTAGCACATTTGCAAGATGATTCATTAAAGACTTCGAGATATCCCATAAAATTGTGGAGCCACACTCAATCTTGCTTTTTATTGAGACGTCATTTGTCACTCGTCAGAATAAACATACCATATTAGACATACAATATTAAACATATAATATTAAACATACAGTATAAAACATACTAATCTTTCACTTATTCCTGAGTGCACAAGACAAGCGCGTAGAAAATACCGCAAAATACATCGACATCTTCCTTCAAGGAATGCACGGTGTCCCAAGCGGTTGCCTTGCCAGCCTCGCCCTCCCACCAGTGTGATAACAGAGCTTGTGCAGCTAGTGTAACGCAGCTCGAGCTACTAGAATAGAATAGAATAGAAGTGTCGGCGCTGAAGAAATAGACCCATGGCCTGTTGCCGATTCTTGAATTTTTCGTGACTTGATTCACAAGGGATCCGGCCTTTGGAACCCGATCTTTCCATAGCTGACGATTGATTGAGATAGCTGCTGGACTTATTGCCTGGTCCGTAATTTGCTAGGCATTTCAAGACTGAACATATGCTCCTGCATAGCTTCGTCTAGTCTGTTTTTTGAAGATGTTCATACTCGGAGCGTCAACGACTAACATATATTGCTTTAGAATACCTTGCCAATTGTATCTATGATCCCATCTTGTCAGTCACAAAGTGAGTGATTTTAGAAGTGCTGATTCTAAGTTCACGTTATTGAGTTAATAATAAAGATGTTATAGTGATTAACTCTGCGCCAAGATATAGTTGCTGGCTTCTTTTATCACCGTCTGCTGATGGGCTTCATGTATCATATTTCAAAATAATTTTACATAGTGACCTTCGTGTAGGGCAATTAGTTTGACAGCGAATTATTTGTTACAAAAACTAGATGTACATTTCATCTGAGTTGTGACCTCATTGATGCATACATGTATTCTAATGCTTTATATAAGGTGGAATATGGAATATTCCATATTCATCATGAATACGGAATATTCGTGGTATTCCTCCTACAAACAAGACCGCCTCTCAATTACAGATCACGCAATGTTTCATGAGTGATAAACTCTAAGACTAGAATAGCGATATGAAGCACAATTCTGAATTTAATGTTCCTTGCATCTACCTTGGGCCATCAGTCAACTAAAATTTCCCCAATCATTTGTAAGCCATAATTATTATTAATCATAATTATTAAATAATTATTATTGAGTAATAATAATAATTAATCATCATAAAAATTATTAACGCTCGGAGTTTATAAGCTCCTTTACCACTAAATTTACGATCAAATATTTTTATTTATAAATGTAATATGAACATTTACCAACACGTTAGGGTAATAGAGTGAAATGGAACTCATCAACATTTGTATATTAAGCATTATTTACATGTTCGTGTACTCTGAAACTATACATGAATTTGATCTATGCCATAATTTGTTCCCTTGAAAATAAGACTTTCTTTCCAATACCCAGCTTGTGAAATATAAATAAATAAAAACAAGTCCAGGAATGCCCGTCATCCAGCGATTTATAACTGAAGTAAGCCACGACCTGGGCGATGCTTTCACTTGTGAATGTTTTATAACTTGAATAAACATTTTAATCATGAGGAGTTATCCATAAGCTAAGTCAGTTGTACCATTGGCTTATCATTCTCTGTTATTTAAGCGGTGCGCCTGGGGAGCGATTCTGGTTACGTGAAAACAGCTTGAATTGAGTTACCATAAAATAATATTATATGATATTGTAGATGTTGATGGTGAATAATAATCATCTGTTCTGAAATTAGTTTACATTTTACAAAGTAAAACATCTCTAAATATTGAAAAATGCTTTTCTTCCAATTATAACGGGAGACGAAATCGACATTTTTCTTAATATTGAAACTTAAGAAATGATATTTCACTAGCGGGGAAGGATGACTGGATCGATGTTATTTATTTATCAAGAGTATATTTCTTTCATAGAAATAAATTTATGGGACTCGTACGAGTCTTTACTCTATGTGGCATATATAATATTGGACCTATAAGGATGGCTTGATGATCTGCCAGATCGTTTCAATATTATAATAGCAGGTATAAGGAATGTTTTCATGCTATAAAATCCTGCATAAATAGTTGAAGCTGTTGCATAATCGGCTTGAGAATTTGTCTGCAAATCTCAGGTACAATCCATGGCGATCACCGCCGGGTTATGCAGCGGATAGTTTGGGTTGCCCCCCTGATCTTTGATCCAGTGCACATCAACCGCGCCCCCTACTCAAAACTTCTATTATTAATACATTCTAAAAGGCCTTTCACCATCAACAAATAATGTTGGCCTATATATCTAACTTTCTTCCATTGCCGCGAACCCGTTGAGCAGCGTAGCTTTCGTGAATGAAATAGAAACCAAAATATGGAACGCAACTGCCATGGTGACTCGCTCTGAGCCTGCACGTCGCAGCCATGCAAGCAGCTTTTTTTCAAACCACGCAATAACACATCGCCTGCCCTGATCCGTTAGCCTAAAGGAGTCGAGTTAATACAAATAAAATTAAATTACCAATATTCTCGCTAAAATTGATTTTATTTTAAAAATGAATAAAATTCCAGCAATAATTATTCGTTTTCAATACTATTTTCGCCTTCAAAACATCATAACTTTTGATATTATATTTATATTATGATATTATTTCCTAATAAATAATTAGGGCAAACTGAAGCATATGAGTTCTTGGAACCATGAACACATTAGGTGAGTAGTATTTAATTATAAATAATATAATATGATTAATAATTGTTTAAATTAATTTTACAGATAGAAAAAAGAAAAAGAAGTAAAAGCAAGCAGGGCAACTGCATCCTCTCTGGCAACCGCAGGCCATGTTGAGTCTTCCTCCGTCAGCGCACAAACATTTTAGGAATACAGAAAAATATATATACTTCTTATATACTCTGCCCCAGGCAATGGCTCGCACAAATTTAAACAATTTTTTACGAAACATTCTATTCATTTTCACTCTAATTATCGACAGATCTTTGCTAAGTAATTGACCTTTGATACGAGCGAACGATGGTACTTATATTTCTACTTTAGATAGCCCTACTTTTTGTAATTGGCAAATAATTCGATTCAAATATAAATTTAAGGAAGTTTAATGGAAATATTCCATCGTGCTTCATGTTATTTCTTTATATTATTCGAATAGTATCAATATTTCATTACATGGTTCATTTATGCGCGTAAAATTCGTATTTTTAGAAAATTTGTCCCAAAATTTTTGAATACACCAGAAAGCCTCTTCTCAGATCCTGGAATGTATGCTTAAATTAAAAAAAGTTAAAGAAATAACTTTTTGATGCTCGCACGGGCAAATATCCTCGAGTTAAGAAGAGTAGCTAACTGCAAGTTTTCGTGATGATTTAATGCTAGTATGAATGACGACCGTATTGTCCAAGACTTTAATCCAGCCCCTCACTGTGATGTGGTCAGTAAATTAGGGCGCATGCAACATTTATTGACTACTTGTTCATTTGAAGGATATTTTTGAGTCGGGGAAGCTTCAAGCTTAGGCTAAGAAAAATTTGTTCGTGAATTCTAGT